CTGAGCAGCTTGAACAATGATGCCAGAAAACATAATGAAATAGTAGGCCAATATAGGTAGCCCTTTCAACCACAATTTAGCCCAAAATTTCTGTTGCTGAGCGAGACAGTTAAGTGAGTTTTGCCCCATTTTATGATCTTTCTTTCTTGCCAGTTGTTATGAATCATAGCAGTTGCTAAATTAGTAACGTATTAAGTGAATTAGATTTCCCCGTTGACTTGACAGAAGGTCCCAAAGAGTGATCACGTGACCCTGGGATGCTGCAACCATCATAAATATGAATCAGGTGCCAAATATCCAAATTTGGATCATGTGACTATGGGGAAGCTGCAACAGTTGTGTAAAGACAGTCATAAGTCACTTTTTCAGTGCTGTTGTAACTCTGAATGAATGATTGTAAATTGAGGGCTACCTGTCGTGATAAATAAAACAAAGATCTGTAATAGTTTAAAAATGATGCATATAATAAGTAGCCTTAGTTCTTAACAATAAGTAGCCTTAGTTCTTATGGGGCACAGTCCACTTCATTAGATAAATAGAATGTCGTCCTTTTGGAAAGTATAATCTGTGTTTAGAAGAGAGAATCGCAAACTTGTAGGCTTAACAGAAAATGAAATATGAATATGAATTTCAGATTGTGGCATAGTCTAGGCCCACAATAGTTTTTGAGTGTGGCATATTTTGCATTTTGAGGTAACTTGCACATATTAGCTAATATGTTTGTTGCTGTTTAGATAAATGGTACCCATATTTATGTTTCTTGGCATTTCACTCTTTTATTTCTACTGATATTTAGGGACAAATTCCTTTTGATTCTGCCCCATATAAAAGCCCTTCACAAACAGTTGTCCATTGGAAATTATTAGATTAGAATTAATTGCATGATTTTTAAAATATATATATAAATCTTCCATTTTTCTTAATACTGAGAATATAAAATTGTTGAAATTGGCTCCTTTTGTATTACAGAAGAATCTACAAAAACAAGCAATGACCTTTCAAATTCTTCTTCTGCAGATCCTCTTGTAAAATGAGAGTTCTGGTATGGTTAATTTATGGATGCGATTGTAGTATTTACAATTTAGAAGCTATATTAAAATAAGACTTTTAAGTTTTGTACCATTCAGAAATATAATTTATGTTCCTCCCCAAAGATGGACTCCTGAAATTACTTGCACTTGTTCTATATATTTCTGCCAAACCTAGAATGTTAAATATTTGTTTAAATTGCATATACCCTTAACTGCAGTATATTGAAATCGAGTACCGTGATATAACTGTGATTTCTGATTACTTATTTTATGAAGGGTGAACAATAATTGCACTGAATTTGGATGGGCTTACCCATCCAAAAGTAATGGGTGAGAAAATAATGATTACTTATAGATTCTGGTTCAGGGTGAGTTCTTGTCCAGCAAAATTGCAAAAAGCAAATGGTACTACCTCAGTGAAATAGCATAAAAGAGAGCTGTACACATTTTGAAAAATGATTTGGAAGAAGCAATTTAGGATTTGCATTAGCCAGCATCTCTTTAAAGCTGATTTTTTTTTTTTTTTGCAGGTTTCCTCAAAAGAAAGGAAAGTATGCTACTTTAAAAGAGTTGTTTGTGGCAAATCTTTTCCTTTCACACAGATGGAAATCTGTAGATATTCTCAGTCATCCAGGTCATGGTTGTCTGAACAGGAGGCAACTGGACTTTGTTTTTTTTCTTTTTGAATTATGTTTTGCTTCTCATCCAAGAAGTTTCTTCAGCTCTGACTGGATAGTGGGGAATGGAAGGATTTATATTCCTTGCAGACAGCTTGTAATTTGTATCCTTTTAGAGGGTCATTGAAGCACTTGGAGGTTTATCTGTGTCCTCAGAGTCATCCTTCCATTCCCGACTATGCTGTCAGAGCTGAAGAAGCTTCTTGGGTGAGAAGCGAAACCTCTTCAAAAGAAAACAATGTCCAGTTGTTTAATAGGTATTTGAGAAGTGCTGTCTTCACATGAGGTCTGAATTGTTTCTTCTGAATAATTTTCAAAGTGTACAGAGCCCTAATTACAAAGTGCAATTTCATTGATTTTTCCCTCCCAAAATGTTTTTTTTTAAAGATCATTGTTCTGATTACCATTTGACTTTGCAAAGAAAGTAAATATGAATAATAGGTACAAACTAACAAATTAAAATTTTTAAAAAGAGGGTGTTAATCTTTAAAAATAGTTTTTCAGTTGTGCTTGTCTAATAGATTCCTTTTCTCCCTTGTTCCCTAAAATCTGCTGGGGAATCGATAATTTGGGGAGGGGAACGTTTCTGTGAGTTGAAAAGGGGAACTTTTGTCAGAGTGTATAGCTTGATTCATGTGTTGCTTTATGTTCTGTAGAACTCTAGAGCAACTGTGATTTGTTGAAATTGATGGGACCAGATTGGCACAGAACATCCACCTCATCGGTCTGATAGTGATGCCGACGTGCTGTGAAATATCACATAATTTATTGTAATACTCAGCACTGTATTTGGAGTTCCAGAGAAGTATGCTATCTTGATCTAAGATGTGATTGATAAGGGGGGAAATTTGTTATTAGAAAGTTTTAAAATATTCTTATAGCTAATGGATTCAATAATACTAAATGCATCAAATCACATCCTTAATATGGTTGTTACTGCTTGTTTTCCTAGTGCATATAATTCCCCTTGGAAAAAAAACCTGTCTAATTCATAGACTTTACCAATTAGACTGCTGACTTAAATGGACAACTTGTATTGTCCCAGACACTGTATAAGCATACTAAGCTTAAGGTAGCTATGTGCTATAATAAATATACTCATTTTCATATCTTTTTGTCATTTAATTTGAGAGACTCCTATTTTTAGATACACGGCTAAACTGTACAGTGTTAACTAAACTAACATATTTGTGAGATACTGAAAATAACATCATGAAATTGTCTAGATTCTAAAAGCATGTATATGCAATGTTGTTGTGAATATGTAAACATAGAACTTTGTGAATATAGTGATGGTTGCTACCCTTACAAACATTGAAACTGTACAACCAAGTAATGCAAAAATAATTTGGGCCTTGAATGCAAGTCTGTTCTTGGGCACCTAATATTGTGCCCTTCTGCCACAGAAAGTGTTATTATACTGCTTGGTCTTTCAGTAGCTACAAACCTTTCACAGCTGTTACATGTGTGGAAGACTAAACAGGGGAATTGGGAATAATTTTACATAACTGTATAGCAGAGGTCTCCAAACTCCAAACTGAATAGCTGGCTGGAGAATTGTGGGAGTTGAAGTCCACAAGTCTTAAAGTTGCCAAGTTTGGGAACCCCTGCTGTATAGTATCAGTGGTGAGTTCAGTAAGACATGGAATTATTGTTTGCCTTTTCCCATCTCATCTTTTGAATAATCTGTCTTCCAACATGGAGACAGTAGCTATGGCATCTTCTCCATGTATTTTATTTACAAAAGCATGCCAGAGATTTTTATCTTTCAAATTCTTAATCTTTATTTGTAAGGAATCTTTATTTTTTATGAAATACGTAATTGAACACAAATACCTAGGTCACTTCCAGTAAGGTCCTCTTGGCTATTACATGGTCTTCCAGAATAAAATCACAAGGCCTGCCAGGCGTGATAGGGATTGACTCAGCAAAGCCATTAATATTTTGTACATTTGTATGTTTGAGCTTCTGCCAAAGTTACTGAAAGGGAGGTCCTGTTGTCATTGATCTGTTACTCTGATCTATTCCACCTATGTTCAAATTCTCAGGAATGAAAGGGACAAAATTATAACATGTCTTATTCTAATTCATTTACAAAAACGAAGTGGAACAAAACAAAAAACCTGTTACCTCAATTCTTTATTCTGTTAGATATTCTGTACATAATGTTAATAAATGCAACTTTGGAAAAAAAATGGATTTGTATATAATGGTCACAAGCCTGGGATGTTTTGACTTCCTTGAATGCTGTATCTTTAATGAGAACCAGGTTTGCCATAGATACTTCAATCTACAGCTAAGCCAGAGCGCTAGGATTGATTTAATCAACTTCATAGGGCTAACTGAAATATAATTTGTTCTGTAGTTATTGAAATAAATTTCCTTTAGAAATGTGCCCCACGTTCTTTCTAATGGATAACCAAAACAGTAAAGTATACTGGCTTAAATATAATAATTGTCAGTCAGTTCTAATAGTTCATTTATGGATGGATCACCGTTAAGATACCTTTGTGTGAAATCTCTACAATACCTTCTGCTTCAACCTCTAGAACAAGGGTGCCAACCTCGCACATATCGTGGTGTATCACAATGTTTTTTGTTTTGCAGAACTGGGGTGGGCATGGCCTTGATGGGTCATATCTGACCTGCGAGCCGCCAGTTTGACAGGCCTGCTCTAGAGTAGTCAAATTATGATCCATTTCACTACATATAGTTTATATCAACTAGATTGGACGCTAATGTTAACCTGGGAGCAGTTTCAGCTATTATAAGCTTATTGCACTTAAATATTTTTATCTACTTATATCTGTTGTACTAAGCAGAACAATTTGAATATCATTAATACAGAAAACTTCAGTACAATACTCTTTCAGAAAATTTACTGGTATTTTTCTAGCCTTCTGGTTTAAAAATCTTACTAAAATCTTACTAAAATCTGGTTTAAAAAGACGTTACTAAATCATAAAATGTCCTGTACTATAACTTGCATAAATTCTCACCTATTTTTCAAGCTCTTACTTTAGCCATTATTGCTGAAACTGTTGTAGTGCAAGATGTGGACCTTGTTTTTAACATTAAAACATCATATAAATAAAGACAGCTAAAATTCTTCATGAGATCTGGCTATCATTGTAATTTATTTACAATGTGTTTATAATTTAAAAGAGTAAATCTAAAGCTGTCAAAACAGATACATCCAAATTTATGCTGGCCCCATGAGGAGGAATGTCAAATAAAAAAGATAGTATAAGCACTGTTATGGCTAGCTTGATCTGCTTTTCCCAGGACAGTGTGAAAATGCTTCTGGTATTGCTTATATCTAGCTTTGAAGTAATTGTTTTTGTCTGAGGAATGGAGTCCCTCTTCTATCAAATTTGTAAACTTTCACATGAAAGTAGGAAAGCAGTTATCTCGTCATACAGAACAGTGCAAAAATGTTAGCCAACAGGCTTATTTGAATAGCAGTGACAATCACTGGCTCATCTTTTCTTCGGCCCTGGTAAATGACTTGTTTCATAATAGCTTTAACTTGCTTTCTGGTCCTTCTATTTTCTACTTGCTTGAGTTATTTGTTTTATATTATCACACACTAGGCACTTAATTTTGAAAGCTTAACTCAGATAAAAGTATAAAAATAAATATTAGTAGAAACTGTTATTGAATGGCTTTCTAAATAGCCTAGTTTAAAATAGCTTTCCCATTACTTTTTAAAAGGTATGCAAATAGGAGCAAATAAAGTATTTATCACTGAGATTATAATCCAAACACTTCAATTCTGCTATCTAAATTATATTCCAAACATTTCAATTCTTCTACCTATTTTGCTTAAGATGCAAAATATTAGTTTTTTTGTGAAGTGCCTCTGTATTTTACTTCAGACTTTCAGAAACTTTGTGGCTTGTGCAATTTCGTCCTCTCTACTATAGCCAGTAGAATTATGTGAAACAGGTGTGTATTTATTTATAAATTTTGTGAATGCATGTTTATGAAGAATTAAAACTTTGCTGGTGTTAGTGATGACTTTGTGGTCCTCCCATCAGTATTCATGGTGGCTTGGTATTGAGGAAGAATTTTAAAAAGTCTGTCAGTTTCTATACCAAATATTTGGATCAAGTTCTCATCTCTTGGTGTTTCCTCTAGCCCACCCATGTTGGACCACAGCTGAGAGCACAAGGCATACTCTCTTATGGGCACCATCATCTCCACTGAGAGAAATGATGTTATGCTTCTGACTCCTGTCCTTCTCCATGTACAGCATTGTCTTCTTCTGATCGCTCATTCAGTAACTTGAATTTTCCATCGTTAGTAAGAGGCATAGATGATATTAATTGAGCTAGAGCTTTTGGATCCTATAATTAAATGACAAATGAAAATTATTCAAGGCAAATAAAATGTAATTTCATGAACAGCTTTTCAAAAAGCAGACTATAAATCAAGAGGACCAGTTTCCTTTCTGTTGTGTTCCCAAACCAAATCAGCCCCTAAAATCCCGCAGTGACTTTTTCACAAAAATTATGAGAACTTTTATAAGGTACTGTATATTTTTAAAAATTCACATGGCTAGAGAAAAAATTGTTAATCATCATACAAACATTGTAAACTGACTTCATATTTTTACTTTTCCGAAGGCAGTTATTCAATTGACATTTTTAACTCCCAACTGAAATAATATCTGGAATCATTTTCCTCATACTGGAATGCTTTTGTACTTTTAATGATAAAAACGATTCTATTAGACCAGGGGTGTCAAACTCATGGCCCACTGGCCACACCCACTCTCAGTTTAGCAAAGGGAAAAGTTGTGATACGTCATGGGACAATGTGTCATCACAAGTTTGACATCCCTGGATTAGACGATAGAGAAACAAGAGTTCTTAACTTCTCAGAATGTCAGTTCATGTGAGTGCAAAAATTCCTGAGTATATTTCTCGAATTAGACTAGAGAAATGGAAATGAAATAAAGGTGGCCTAATTTTTTACCTGTGGAGTTTTAAGATTTTGGGTATTCCCACAAAATGGCTTCTAAAGTTAGTGATATAAACACCTGCTTGTCAGAAGACAAAATTATAATAGCATACCCTGCAATACTCGGTTTATGCTCTGGTGAGTGTGTAAAATTATAAACTCCAAATGAACAACTAGATTCCAGTCATGTTTAATGTATAATTTCTAAAGGGGTCTACATGGGCCCAGGAAACTTTTCCCTCCACTTTTGAGTCAGTTTTTAACTCATGGCAACTGCCTTGACTAGTCAATTTGGTTTTCTTGGCATGATTTCAGAATGATTTGCCATTGCAGCTTCTTAGGGTTGAGAGAAAGTGACCACCCAAGGTCACCCAATTGGCTTTGTGCCTAAAGTAGGACTCAAACTCCTGTCTCCCAGTTTCTAGCCTGATGCTTTAACCACAACACCAAATTGACTCTTCGAAGAAACAAACTCAGTCCTAAAAATCATGCTGAAGACTGCTGTTATAGCAAGACAATGGAGGGTGATATGTGAAGGGAAGCAAGAACTTTTCAAAGCTTATTTCTTCAACCTTGTATTGACTTTTATAATCCTTCATTATCAAGCTCATTTTTTCCTAATTTATCATCTGGCTTGAGCCTAATGTTAAATAAAACTTAACATGCATAAGTTCAGCAAAAGTAGATACTTACCTGCTCTGTATCTGTGAGCAAATTAGATGTTATTTACCTATACCTAGTTATTGGCTGAAGTACTCCCTAAGCACATCACATGCACACTGCTGGCACTATACAAAACACTTAAATCACTTAGTTACTAGATAACCACCCTTAGTATTGAATTATGCAATTTACTATATAGAATTAGATCCAGATCACATCCTCTTAAATTCAAAGTAAAGATGATTTGCTTGAATTCTGTTAGTCATAACAATACCCAGAGAATCAAAAGGCAAGATTTAATTCAGAGGATAAGGAATATGAAGTTAAAAATACTACCTTTCGAGCTTCAATGATTTCCTTCCCCAGGTTTATTGCATAGCAAATCTACAGAAAAATAAAATCTGCCTCAGTACGACTTAATTTTTTTTATTGATTATACTACCTATCTAAAACTGCAAATAAATGGACAAAGCTCAGTATTTCCTGAATAATTTATCCTATTATTGGATCTGAATTACAGCCTCAGAAATCATATGGCAGCACTCACAATAATAGAATTAAGATCACCAAATAGTCTGTGAAAGCTTTACAATACTGTACCAACAGCATTTATGACAAGGAAAGATGCTTCAGACCATTGCTGAAGCAATCGCTTTCTAGCACTGGTAGGCATTTAGAACAGATGTTTACATCCAATTATTTGTCCAGCACTATCCATGTAACCATCCAGATATTGACGATAATGCTCATAATATGATTAGCTATGGCTAAAGGAAATTGTAATCCAACAACCTGCATAAGGAAACACAAACCATACCCCTTTTTATAGTAATGCTGCTATATTTAGAAGCCACAGGTTGGAATTAACAAATGAAATTCTACCAATGGGTCATTTTAAATGGATACCATAAGAAAACATTCCATTTCAAGGCCAGTCACTCCCTCAGTCAATTCACCTCACAAAGATGTGGGGGAAATAGGAGGAAGGTGTGTTGGATATGTTTGCTGTCTTGGGTTATTTGTAAAATAACTAAATTAATAAAAACATGATACAAATGAACTGTTTGCTGCCTTGAGTTATTTACAAAAATAATAAAGGTAGGATAAAAATAAACTTACCTAAATTGATTAATAAGCCCATTATATCAAGGTTACAGGTACTCCTTTACTTATAAATACAACAAGGCCAGAATTTCAATTGCTATGCAATTTGTTAAGTGAATCATCATGTAGCTGGACCTGATTTTACGGCCATTTTACCATGGCCATTAAATGAATTGATGTGGACTTTAAGTGAATTATATGATCATTAAGCGAATCCAACACCTCCCCCCCACAATTGACTTTGCTTATTGGATTGTGATTTCAATCTTCCCAGCTGGTTTCGGATAAGCAAAGTCAATGGGGGATGATTGTGACCATTGGATGCTGCAACCATTGTAAATGTGAGCCAGTTGTCAAGTGCCCAAATCACGATCACAAGACACTTGAGATGGTGCAACATTTATAACTTCACGGATGGGAATCTAAGTCACTTTTTTCAGTACCAATATAACTTCAAACCATTGTTAAACCAATGATCGTAAGCCTGGTATCAAAGAGGGCATGTTGGATTGAAGGCTGTATTAGATTTTGTGCACTATAATTTGAAGGTGCACAACACCAGGACCAATTTTGGAGTGAATAAGATTATTTGAAGAGTAACAAGCTGCTGGGAGATTTAAGAATTGGAACTCCACAAAAAATAAAGCAAGACTGGAAATAAATCTCTCAAAATGTTTGGCCCAATCCATTCTGAAGCTTGCAAAAGCGGTGCTGCCTGGTTACACGTTTTATACTCTTATAATGAACATGCTGCTACTGCTGTTTTTATTTGACTGCATGTTACAAAACAGATTGGGTCATTAGCTCATAACATTCCATTGAAAAAAGTCGTTACATCTATTCATTTTAATTATACAACAAAGCTATTTCCATACCTTTTCACCTTCAGTGTTACTCTCAAACACATAAGCACTCATGCCGTCTTCACCTGACAATTCAGAGACACAAACCACAAACCCAAACAGCCTCTTGTTTTCCTTGTGAGCAGCAAACTGTGTCACATTGGCTAGTTCAAACTGAAAAAGAAAGAATAATATAAATTTACCTAAAGTCTCAGGGACTGCAATCTTACTGTGGCAATAAAAGAAAGCATATGCTTACATTTGATCTTGTAACTTGTGTTTGAGGATCTATCAATCTGTTAATGAAAGAAAAATATGTTTAAAAGGCAATAAACTCCATCATGATTACCGATTGAATCCAGAGGAAATCTATGATCAAAAGGATTTTTGATGCAGTTGAAACTCCTGCCAATAATGGGGTGTGTGTGTGTGGCATCTCCCTTCCCCCTTCCAGAGCCTGAAGAATTGTGATCAATACATCAGTAATACTTTTCGTTACAGGTAATCCTCGACTTACAACCAGAAACATGCTGCTACTGCTGTTTTTATTTGACTGCATGTTACAAAACAGATTTTTATTTATTTTACTTGATTTGTCAATCACTTACAAAATAATAGGTATAAGTATAAAAATGAGTAAGAATACAGAAAACAGGTACGATTAAATGGGGACAATAGGACAGGGACAGGAGGCATGATGGTGCACTTCTGCATACCCCTTACAGACTTCTTAGGAATGGGGGTGAGGTTAATAGTGGATAGTTTGAGGTTAAAGGAGTGGGGGTTACAGGATGTAACTACAGAGTCAGGTAGTGCATTCCAGGCATTGACCACTGAAAGTCGTACTTTCTGCAATCAAGCTTGGAGCGATTAACATTGAGTTTGTATCTGTTGTGTGCTCTTGTATTGTTGCAGTTGAAGCTGAAGTAGTCATTGACTGGTAGGACATTGTAGCAAATAATTTTGTGTACTATGCTTAAGTCCAATCGTAGGCGGCGTAGTTCAAGATTGTCCAAGCCCAAAATTTCAAGTCTGGTAATATAGGGTATTCTGTTATGAGCAGAGGAGTGTAGTACTCTTCTCGTGAAGTACTTCTGGACTCGCTCAATTGTATTAATGTCTGATATACAGTGCGGATTTCAGACAGTTGAGCTGTATTCGAGTATTGGTCTAGCAAAGGTTTTGTATGCCCTAGTTAGCAATTCAATATTTCCAGAGGAAAAGCTTTGTAAGATTAGATTTACAACTCTTAATGCCTTTTTGGCAATGCTGTTACAGTGAGCTCTGGCGCTTAGGTCATTACATAGGAGTACTCCTAGGTCCTTGACATTATCATTAGCTCATAACATTCCATTTCATTGAAGAAAGCCATTACCTGTATTCATTTCATGTTAAGTGAGACATTTGTTAAGTGAATTTCATCCCATTTTACAACCTTTCTTGCCTCAGTTGTTAAGTGAATCACTGCAGTTGACTAGTTAGTAAACCAATTGTTATGTGAATCTGGCTTCCCCAGCTGCCAAACAATCTGAATTTTCATCACATGATCACGGAGATGCTGGAAAGGTGGTAACTGTGAAAAACGGTCATAAATCACTTCTGTGCTGTTGAAACTTTGAATGGTCACTAAATGAATTGTAAGTCGAGGACTACCTGTAATGGCAGCTTGAGATATACAAGATCTTGGCTATAAAATTAAGCACTGAATAGTATAAGGGCGATTGACTAGACATGCCTTTGATCTAGCGAAACTCTTCATACATTCTTAGGCCCTCCCACATTTCTTGAAGGACCAACACTGGAGCAGATGTGCGTCAGAGAACAAAATCTGCCTCCTTTCCCTAATGCTTTTTCTCTGACTGTGATTCCATTCCCAGGATCACTTTACAACTAAAACTACAAAGAGGGCAACAAAACTAAAAGAGGGAAAGATATATGCAAATGGATCAAAGAAGATAAAGTTTGCTTACTTCAGGTCATTGCTGGTGACCAAGAGATGTGATTCAGTTGTACGGAAAATATTATGAATAGCCCGAGCTGCCAACACCTGCCGCATTGCTTCATAGATCACTTCCACTGTGTGGTCAGATCTGACAGCCATAGAGCCTAAAAACCGAACTACAAACATGTGCTGCAGGAGTGAATCTGGGGATGGAGGGGGAGAGAAATGGAAAAATATATTTATATTGCCTTTTATCATAAAAACAATTTTCTTTTAATAGATTCCTGCAAAAATGATTATTACTTCAAAGAGAAGCTTCCCCATCTGTAATATATTTCAAATCCCAGTTCACATATAGATGCTTAAATGATGATTAAAAACAGGGGTTTTCAAACTTGGCAGCTTTAAAACTTGTGGACTTCAACTCCCAGAATTCCTCTTATCATGTTAGCTCAGGGATTCTGGGAGTTGAAGTCTAGAAGTCTTAAACTTGCCAAGTTTGAAGACCCTTGCTCTAGAACAGGGATGTCCAACCTTGGCAACTTTAAGACTTGTGGACTTCAACTCCCAACTCCCAGATTTCAACTGGGAGTTGAAGTCCACAAATCTTAAAGTTGCTAAGGTTGGAGACCTCTGCTCTAAAAGATATAATATCAAGGCTACATTCATTTTTTTTTTCTCATGGAGGGCTGCTTTCTTTTTAGGGTAATAATTCGCTATATACTGATGAAGTATGGACAAGAAACCAAAGCAAGGAAGGAGCACCACTTCCTTTCTACTACAGGTGGTCCTTGTTTATCAACCACAATCAGAACCGGCAACTTGGTGTCTAGGTGAAGTGGCCACTAAGAAACTGCCACCGTGCTTATGATCTTACTTTAGCTTTCCTTTGTTTTACAGATCTACGAAAGTCATAAATGCCAGGATTGGTTGCAAAGTTTCTTTTTCATCACCATTGTAACTATGAACAGTTGCTAAATGAGTCCATTGCTAAGAGAAGACTACCTGTATTTTCTCCTGTATTTCCTTACCTTACTCTTCTTCACCTAGCAGGACACATAGAGAGACTGCTTTGATCAGAAGCTGGTCTCATCATTTACAAAGGGCTATTGAGGTTTATGCTAAAGCTTGCATAAAGCATGTATATAAGCTCCAGTTTGTCTCTTCCTATGCAGTGCATTCATAAACATTCATAAGAGAGTCCATTCATAAACATTCTTTCAGTGGGGCAGTTCACATACTCAGTTATAAACTATCACATTCTGAGTATGAAATAATTAGCAACCCTTTGCAATCTGTCTTTGTAAATGTGGAATCAATGCAAATGCTGTTTGCAGCACAAATGGTGGAGCTTATTTTTTTATCAATTTCTTTATCATATTTGTATAGCTTGACAGCTTCCTCCTGGTAGGAATCTCATCTCCACCCCAAGATTCTTAGCTATATTAGCACTAAATGTATCCTTTCACCAATGTTTACTGCTTACCCTAGACTTTTCATTTCCAACTTACCACAGAAAAAAATGCAGCAGAAAGGAAAGAAGGGGATGGGCTACAAGTTAATTTTTGCACCCTTCTAGTCACCAGTGAAACCTTCTAATAACTGAGAAATTGTGCAATGAGAATTGTAACTACGAAAAGTGCCCTCAGTCATTCCATCCAGCATTATAAATAAAGCTAAAGTATGGAGGGGAAAACATGATTTTAAAAATGTGTGTGGAGAATGGCATACTATGGATACCACCTAACATGCATTGCTGATACCAGGCTCTTTCCTCATCTTGCTCACAGCACATTTCAAAAATTAAAACCAACCTAGAAAAGACTGCATGTTTCCATCTACAGAGACCGGAACATTGTTGACTTCTGCTTATACATTATTTTTAAAGACAAATCGTTATTCCTGCAGCCACATTTGACAACAGACTACCAGGTGGTCTTAATAGCACAGGCAAAATGTCTGTCTCTCCGAAAGTGGGACATTAACCTGGATGACTTTGGAACCAAAGCAAACAGTGATGAACAACGGTTACAGTACCTGCTTCATCCTCTTTCTCGCCATCTTCAGATTCTCCAAAAGGATTGGTACGTCTGCAACAGAACAGTATCATTTCTAAAAGACCATTTTCCAATAATAAGAGAAAAGTTTTTTTTTTTTTTAAAAAAGAGTTCCTTGTCCAAAGAAAGATTGTTGGCAACCCGTACCTTCCACCCCTGTGCTGATCTAGGAACTCTGTTGCAGGAAGCACAATGTCAAACTGAATGGGAGTTCCAGGTGCAATTAACTCAGTGGGGACGAGAGCTTCAGCAGACTCCTCAGGAACTGTCTGGTCATTCAGAATATCCATGCACTTCCCATCCTGGCTAAAGGAAAAGAGACGAGAAAGGGGCCATTTGAAATACGCAGTCAAAAAGCACGACGGATTATTACGAATGGAAAATCCATTAAAAATAACCAAGGTATCATTTTTCACGTGTTTTACTAGTTTCAAAAGATGAATGACAAAGAATAAGCAGATAATCTCTTTTTAAGGAAATGCTTGTTCATTGGCATGTGACTGATACGATCCATCTATTGTGTTAAGGAACAGTTCTCTATGTCGTAACTAGAAGAGGAAATGCAGGATTAAATATTCCCCCAGGACAAAACTCTCTGCTTACACTGAAATTGTATGTTAGGGGAAAAGAAGGTTTTATATTCACTGGGGAAGGACAAAACCCAAGGCAAACATGAAGGTACCTGGAGGAATGACTACCCTGCTTCGTTTCAAAGCTCGTGATTGGAGTCACAGCTTGCAGTGCTGTCTGATTCAACCTAATGGCAACTGCCTGAAGTAAAACAGAAGTGCATCTTTAAGTAATACGGTGTAAAGTTCTTGCACAAACACAGAATCATAAGTGAACATATCTTATAAGATAAATAAATTTGAAAAAAATATATAAAAACATGCTCACTTCTGGGTTGTCAGTCAGATAGATCTGTCGTGAAATGTTGTTGATTGCACTTATCCACTGTAACAACAAAGCAAATATTTAAAATAAGGCACCTGGATATTCTTGAATTCTTAATTTGTAGAATTGGTTCTATCTAACAAATTCAGGGTGAAATGTTTTACCTCCTCATATTCCTTTTTGCTTTCTGCCTGGAGAGTTATGCCTCTATTTAAAAAAAATACACAACCATTAGTATTATTTCACTGGATTTTCACATATGCATCATTCTTGCTCAAGACTGCATGAATGAAAAATACAATACAATACAATTTGAGATCCAAAAGTTTGAATTTGCAGGATATTAAAGGTGTGAGAATATTAAGGTTGGGAAATCAGCCAAGCATAAAATATTCATGTGTGCGCAAAAAAGTGACTTAAGCTTAAAGCAAAAAATAAGCTTCCCAGAATCACATTGTTTTAGTTGGGCAGCCTTAGAAATCAAATCAAATAAAAATGTTTTTGACTTCTAGATTAAACATTCTGGACCAAAAGCCTGATGGATAGGCCTTGAAACAGTTACAATTACAAAGAAAAAGCCAATTTGGCATTTGGTGCTTGGTTTACAGATGTAAGCTTATTTGTATTTGCTGAAATATGCTGAAATACTAAGTCAGTATTGACTCCTGGTAATTATCTGGACAAATCCCTGGAGTTTTCTTGGCAAAATTTCAGAAGTGGTTTAGCATTACCTGCTAAACCACTTCTGGTTCTGGGCCTGAGAGAAAATGACTGGCCAAAGCCACCCAACTAGCTTTGTGCCTAAGGAGAAATTAGAACTCAGTCTCCTGTTTCTATGCTGAAGCCTTAACTTCCTTAACCAAATTGGCTCCCATTTGCTGAAATAGTACAATACCCCTAATTATTATACAACGCCTGTATTGTTCTTCCTTAGATAATGACAACAGTGGCTTTCTTAAATTTCTATACTGTTAAGTTCCAAATGTTATTCCTAGTGGCTCACATTCAAGAGGGAGGGCACTTACCTAAATTCATGAGCGGCTATTCCATAATATGGGCGTGTAACTGAAAAAAATTGCCGCAGCCCCTTAACTCTTGGCTACTTAAAACTGATTATGTGCTATAACATTAAACGGAAATCCATGTACAACACCAAAATTACTTTTGCAATAATTCCTATGTAATCCAGAAAAACTTGATTTAGATTAAGTGGAGGAAATAAAGTACACAAAGCAGCTCAGTTAATGCAACCTCGCCAAGAATTAACAAAGCTTTCCTTCTAGCAGATGCCTTGATCCCCAGATCCTGACCCACATACGGTTTTCCTGTTGGAGTGGTGATCTGAAAGCAGTAACGTCGGTCTTCACAATCAATGGCCATCACAGAACAGTTGTCCAAATCTTGAATCAATCCACCGGCGACTGCACCCCTGGGTTGACACATCAAGTTTCCACCCTGAGTGAAGAAATACAGCCTGTCCCACGTGGTTGTCACAAGGCCTGTTTTGCTGCAAAAAAATATACCATTTCAAGATTTTTAAAAAAACCAAAACCCAGTACTGGAACATATTTGCCAAAATCATTCCAACAAGCCCATCTGATTGTCTTCAGCACATGGATTTTTAAGACTATATTTTGTTATGACTATATCACTAGTTACAGCTTTTATTTATTTTCAGGTGTTGGATTTTATAATGCTGCTACATTGGTGAGTCAGGTTTCATTGTCTGAAATCAGTAACCTGCCTACACAGTTACCATATATTGCTGGACAAGTGAAGACTATTACTTTTACCACTATTAGATGCATCCCACAAATGGAACTGATATTTGCAATGTCTAAAGCATATATAGATATTAATAAGCTTCCATAAGCAGAGGCTAAATGGAAAAAAGGGGAAAAAAGAAATAACTGTTTTCCCCCAGCTCCTCTCCCTGTTGAAGCCTATTGTGCATAGACCTTTAAAAAGGCCCTTAGATACATATGTAAATATTTTATTCAACCCAACCATCTGGACACTAGGCACTTTATTGTAATTACTAGTGCAATAGTACTTGTACATTTTCCATAGTACAAGAAGCATCTTATCGCTCTTTAAGATTTCACTCTTTAAGATTCGAAGTAAACATAAAAAATGAAGTATTTTTAGCCCTCTTATTGTCCAAATTAAGTCGGAGTACGATAATTTTAAAAAAAGCTGAAATGACCAATCCAGCAAGATAAATAAAACATTTCTGAGCTTCCACATTACTTTCTAAGGTTTAGGTAGCCTGCTTTCTGGATGAGGTTTTTGTTGATAACAGGAGAAGCATCAAAATCGGGCGTATATACTGATTCACCAACTGAAAGCAGATCTTGCTGAGATACCCTCATGACTTCCACTTCAGCATCTGATTCTTCTTGGATGCTGCAATACATAAATAAAATCAAAGCACTTCACCATCATGCTACTTCTGGTGAACTTTTATGTATGTAATTAATACAGCTGGGCGTTAAAGATTATTTACAAATACATTTTTCATAAGTACTTAAGAGCTACAAAACAGGGTAAGAATGTGCATTTGCAAGTAATTATGAATCACAATAACATCATGATTTCATGTATATCTTATATGATAATGGTTTTAGGCTGATCAAGAACACTTTTCAGAAATCACTTTTGTGATACGTTATTTTGCAGCTTAGCTCTAGACAAACTATTTTAGTGCCATTTGCTATCTCTAAAATGGTTGCAATTCTGTAGAGATGCACAGTAGGAGAAAAAAAATACACAATTACTTTCAAGATCCCTGATCAGGCAGCATAAATTATAAGCCAACATCTTCCAGATGAATTGGACTATAAGTATTGTTACAAGCCAGTATGGCAAATGGGTCATAGTTGAACAGGCCTTTGATAGTATTTTCACATCAAAACAATTCTATCTCCCTTTCTTTCCCTCTCCCTTCTTGCTCATGTAGATAAGAGCAATACAAGCAACATTTTTCCTCCTTCCCAAAATTGCAAAGCAATATAAACAGGAATGTGTTACCTCTGCACCGTTTTTGTAACCGATGTTAAAAATCCATCTAGCTTTTTTGAAAACATCTCTGCTCCTTTCTTCAAAAAATTAATCTGAAAAGTATAAAAAGAAAGCTGAAGACTTTGACTAGCAAATGGCTCCCTCCAAGGGTCTCCAAGCCTTGAGAAGTTAGTAGATGTACTTTGTATTTTGAGAGCTTTTGTGGATCCTCAAACAGCATCACCATGAGCATAGTCAGTCTAAAACACTTGTAATAATTGCCCAACCCTGACAGGAGACTCAGTATTAAAATGATTAAAAAGAATAAGTCAGGCATCAAGAGAAACACTGTTTATAGGCAAAATATATCTTTGAAATTCAGCTTAAATTCAGTCTCTATGATCTTGCACATTAACCTTCCTTCCTTCCTCCCCTCCCTCTTTCCCCCTCTCTCTGTTATGAAATAATTGTAAGCCTTCTCTTTTTTAGCACCAATATTCCTCATCTCAGTTAAAACCCATGGAAGTCAGTCTATACAATTTATTTAACAAGCCTTAAATTTGTTACTTTAAGAGTAGACTATTATTCATACCTTTTTATCGTTCACTCATGTCAATGATCACAACTCTGGTTTACAATATTAGAGAACACAGGTGCTTTGAATATAAAGTGGCTGAAATATTAAGGAGCTATATTGTGCTCAGACATATATGAAGCACCATTTGCAAATGAGGTATTCCACTGCACTGAAAAATAATTCACAGCTCCTTTCTTAGCTATAAAACTGTGTTGCTTAGGGCTACATACCTGTGAATGTGCATATCCCAGCATGGGTTCCATCATAGCAATTCTTTTACGATACTGTAAAGCATTCAAGGCACAGTAATATTGTAATGATGACAGATGCTGCTTCCTTCGGGCACTGGCAACCTCTTTGGCAACTTCAGCCTTTAGCTGAATAATAAAATGTTTATAAAACCCAGACAAGTATCAGCAGACAACTTGCTTTTTTTTCCAAAAGAGGCTGAAGAATGCAACATACAACAGATAAGATCACATCAAAGTCTACTGAAAGCACTTGGATTATATTTGCGTATGACTAGTCTTATGAAAAGAAAGATTAGGGGTGACATGATAGCAGTGTTCCAATATCTCAGGGGCTGCCACAAAGAAGAGGGAGACAAGCTATTCTGCAAAGCACCTGAGGGCAGGACATGAAGCAATGGGTGGAAACTAACCAAAGAGAGAAGCAACTTAGAACTAAGGAGAAATTTCCTGACAGAACAATTAATCAGAGGAACAACTTGCCTCCAGAAGTTGTAAATGCTCCAACACTGGAAGTTTTAAGAAGAGATTGCATAACCATTTCTCTGAAGTGGTGTAGGGCCATGATGGCGAACCTATGGCACACGTGCCACAGGTGGCACTCAGAGCCATTTGTGCCGGCATGTGAGCTGCAGGCAAACATACCTCACTGGGCATGCGCATGCCTCACAGCTAATTTTTGGCTGGTTTGAGGCTTTTTTCTGCCTCCCAAAGGCTTGAGGAAGGCTTCTGCAGGCTTTGCAGGCCGAAAACTAGCCCCGTTTCGTCACTTCCTGTTTTTCCGAAAATACTGAAAGTGAGGAAACAGGGCTAGTTTTCGGCCTGCAAAGCCTGCAGAAGCCTTCCTCAAGCCTTTGGGCCTCAAACCAGCCAAAAATCAGCTGTGAGGCGCAGTGCAGATAAGAGGGTGGCGAGGATGGGTGGGTATTACGTGTGCATGCGTAGGGGGTGTGGGAGAGCGCACATTGCTTTCTGGGTGTTGGCATGCGAGCGCGAGCGTGCAAGCGTGAGCACAATTTTTGGCACAGGAGCCCAAAAAGGTTAGCCACCACTGGTGTAGGATTTCCTGCCTCAGCTGGGGATTGGACTATAAGAACTCCAAGGTCCCTTCCAACTCTGTTATTCTATTCTATTCTATTCTATTCTATTCTATTCTATTCTATTCTATTCTATTCTATTCTATTCTATTCTATTCTATTCTATTCTATTCTATTCTATTCTATTTTAACATTCAGGACTCTCGTTCTGAAAACTGCAGCCATCATTTGGAAGGCACTTCCAAATAATTCAAACGCTACCATAAATTTTAAGCGATCTTTTCCATCACATTTATATTTGTATGAAATAGATATGTCGAATGAACTTTCTGCCCACTTGCTTTTTTTCTACATGGCCAGAATTTGGGTTGTTTAAAAAATAATAATCTAAAACTGGAAACGCATACCTTTCCATTCTCTTTCTTTTTGGGTAGCCTGCTGTATCTGGCCATGGAGAAGTCATGTTCTGAAAGAAAAGGCAACCTTTGAGCCTCACAACTGAAGCTGCACATGCAGCAGGGAATTCTATCAAATCAAAAATAAAAATGCGAGACATACCATTGCTTGCAAGACTGAAGAGATCCTTTAAAGTGCTTACTTCTAGGGAGAAAATAAAGAAGAGAAAACAACAATGTATGTATTACACATTTTTCAGAGATATGTGGATTAAATCCTGGAGAGAAATAGAATTCTCCCTTTAAATTTAATTTCCATCTACTTTACTTACAAATTTCTATAACTGTAGTTCTCACCAAACAGGTTTCATTAATCAACCCAAGAAAACTTGGGAGGAAAAGCTGCTATCCTTGTAGCATTTTTGTTTTATTACAATTTCTAGTTTGAATCTAATGTCCAGGATTCCTTTGGCCAATAGAACAGGGAAATCTGGCAGCCTATCTTAGAAATGACTAGCATGGTACAAGCCTGAAGGCTGTAGACAAGATCTTATTTCCTTCATTTTTCCCCATTTTTGTAATGTAACCACACCCACCAGGATTGTCCTTCTTATTTTGAAGTAAATATGTAGAGAAATGTACTGGTAAGCTGTATTGTTATTATTATCCCGTCTATATCTTTTGAGATTTCTTAAATAAAAAAATAGTTTATTTCTTCCCTTTAATTTTCTATTCACGCATTCTCTCAGAGAAATAATAAAAAGATAGTCCTCACTTAACTACCCTTATCTGTTGCTAAGTGACAAGAGTTGTTGAATGAAAGATCACATAAATGTTCCACTTAGCAACAGCAGTTCCTCAAGAGTAGGGGCTGCCTCTGCTTCAACTCACCCCCATCCACTTATATCTCTCTCAACTCTGCCCTTTTGGCAACACATCTACCCATTGCTGACAGCTGCCCGTCACCCAGCCCTGCCAGCCACGTCACCCACCCCACTTTGCATTACTATCAGTCAAGGTCTTCTTTTACACTGACTTCTATGGTCCCGGGACAGCCGGGCCTTTCTTTTCAATGTTGATTGGGGCCTTGGTTTCTACATTGTCCTTCTTTTGCAGGCCAGACAGGTCCTTCTTTGATGAACAGAGGCCTTGGATGCGACTCAAATAGAAGCACTGAGTACAACATGACAATAGGCTCTCGGGGGAGAGGGGGACAGAGACCCTGACTGCACTGGCACAAAAGAAGGTGCATTTGTGGCACATCCACTGACACTGAGCTGGTCAGCAGGGGCAGCTGGCAGCAACATGTAGGCAGCTGGCCAAAAGGGAGTTGTAAATATGGGTGGGACTGAAGGTAGTGAACAAATAAATGTTGTTCATGTAACCACTGCAAGGGCTTCAAGGACCAGTCATAAGTCCCTTTGTTCAGCACTTTTATGGTCACTGAAATGATGGACATTAAGTGAGGACTACTTGGTAATGAGAACTCAGCCTGTGGAAATTCCCAGCCAGGAAGAAACATTTCAAGTATTTACCTGTAAGATCTTTCTCACGAAACTGGATGACAGGAAGAACCATTGTGTCTGCAAGCTGTTTTGCCAGTTCAGTGTGTAAAGCATTAAGCTGAAAAACAGGAAAGCAATGATACTATCTTGGTACTACAATCTTGGAAATATCTCTCAGCCTCAATTTCATCTCTAAATAATAATCATAATAAAGCTGATATAAGCAAAGGAAATTAGAGAAAGGAAGTAAAAAAATGACATTGGAGAAAACCAACATTATTTCTTTTCACCTATATAGCTAGATTGGGATCCTCTCTAATATATATAAAACACACACAGACATACACACACGTATTTATCTATGTATGTAGGTATATATTAGAACAATATTTATCTTCAGAATCATTTTCTATGTATTCATATCTCAGTAATCTCTTGATCTCATATCAAGACATACCATACATCTTCTAATTTTTAATCTCTTAATATAGAATGATCAACTTTTTAATGTAGAATAGTTAAATATTGAATTTTGTTTATTACCATTAGGCTCTGTTATAATTGCAGGGACTAAATGACTAACAGACAGATGCCCTTTAAGCTGTCAAATCCTAATTCCTGTTCACTGCAGGAAACCTTAAAAATAAATCAATCTAAATATGAAGTTAGCAGTCTGATGTATTTTTTCTGGAACATCTTTTAATCAATAAGAGTACTTACAGCACATCTGTTTTGATGAATAGTATGGAGGGGGGGGGAAGAAGGGGAAGACCAGTAAAAGTTTTAAAAACTTCCTTAAGGACTCATCCATGCTTGGTTTACAGATTTCAGCACATCTCTTCTTCAGTTTATATTTACAAACAGTCCTCAAGTTACAACCATTCATTTACTGACCGTTCTAAGTTACAATGGCACCAGAAACAGTGACTTATGACTGGTTTCCCCACGTACGACTATTGCAGCATCTCCCTGGTCACATGATCAAAATTTGGGCACTTGGCAACTAGCATGTATTTATGACAGTGGCTGTCATGACCGTTGGAGACTGACTCCGAGGGAGAGGAGTAACAGCCGACAGGGAGTGGAAGTGTGGCTCCGAAGATTGTGGAGGAGACTGGGGAAGGGCAGAGGCTGGCTGGGCAGTCAGAGGAAGACCCAGGCCCATCCCCTCTTCATCCTAGGGCACGCAGGGAGGAACGGAGAAAGGAACAACGTGGCTTACGGGAGAGGAAGCAGCCATGATCCCCCACATTGGCTGCAGCTAGGGGAAATAGTATAAAGGAGGAGCGTTTAAAACACAGCGTTGCTAGAAGCAAAGCGGGTTTTATTTCTGGCTGAGGTTTATCTTGGTTGGCGTTCTTCCGATGGACTGTGCCTTGTTATCTTCTTGAAGTTTGTAATTAATTATCCTGGTCTGCCGTGGAAATTCCTTCAGTGTGGCTTGGTTTGGTTTTTTATTTCTCCGTTATTTGTTTGTTGAGTTTGGACTGTATTTCTTTCTTTTGGAGACTATTTTGGAAAAAGTTTAATCTTCAACTGTGAACAATTGAACAGTGAGGCCAAGTTGGAGGCATTGAAGGAAACGTATTTACGTTTGGGAATTTATTACGTGTGTGCTGCTTCCTGGGTCATCACAGTGGCATTGTTCTGGGGTCATATGACCACCATTTGTAACCTCCCAGACAGCTTCTGACAAGCAATGTGGGAATCCTGATTCATTTAACAAACACGATTCACTTAATAACTGCAGTGATTCACTTAACTGTGGCAAAAAAAGGTTATAAAATGAGGCAAAATTCACTTGACAACTACCTTGCTTACAATGGAAATGTTGGGCGCAACCACGGTCATAAATTGAGGATTATCTGTACATGTATTCCAATATTAATATTTGCATTCTAAAGATGTATTGATTTTATTCCTTGTTATCTTTGACATTTTGATGATTTACTATTTGCTTTTATAAAACAGGAAAATCTGATTTTCATAAAGAAATGCAGGTGGTGCCCCCCATTGTATACAGGTAGTCCTCGACTTATGACCAGAAATTGAGCCCAAAATTTCTGCTGCTAAGTGAGACAATTGTTAAGTGAGTTTTGCCCCATTTTACAATTCTTTCTTGTTGAGTGAATCACTGCAGTTGATACGTTAGTAACGTGGTTGTTAAGTGAATCTGGCCTCCCCATTGACTTTGCTTGTGAAAAGGTTGCAAAAGGTGATCACATGGTCCTGTGTGATGACCCAGGGTGGGATACAAAAACAACACAGGCACAAAAACAGGTGAAGTCCTTTTAATTCCTTCAACTTGGCTTCAAAGCTCCAAATATACTTGACTGGAGACAAAAAACTCCCCCACAAACAGTTGCAAAAAGGAGGAGATTCCGGTTAAACTAAAAATACCTATAAATTATAACTAGAAAAAACACAAACAATACAACACAAACCACACTTAAGCAATTAAGGGAACCAGGCAAGATAAGGGCTTGAAGACGCCCACAGATATCGGAATACACACTGGGAAGGACACCAAACTCAGGTAAGAACGGATAGACTAGAAATATTTTCATACTTTGTTTCCAGTACTGGCTCATGCAAAGTCAGTCCTTTTAAATAGTTCCCACAGCTGCAGCCCATGAAGGGGATCAAGGCCCTTTCCTCCCCCGTAGACCATGCCATTCACGCTTCTCCCTTATCCTCTCCTCCCTGCATGCCCTAGGATGCAGAAGGGATGGGCCTGGGTCCTCCTCTGACTGCCCAGGTGGCCTGTGCCCTTCCCCAGCCTCTTCCACAACCTCTGGAGCCACACTTCCACTCTCTGTGGGCTGTTCCTCCTGTCCCTCGGAGTCAGTCTCCAACAAGGGCATCACACCCTGGGATACAGCAAAGGTATGAACCAGTTGCCAAGCCTCTGAATTTTGATCATATGATCATGGAGATGTTGCAAAGGTTGTAACTGAAAAATGGTCAAAAATCACTTTTTAAAGCTGCATTGTAACTTTGAAGAGTCACTAAATGAACTGTTGTAAGTCAAGGACTACCTCTAGTGCAACGTTTCTCCAATCAACATGAGGATGACTGGAAGCACAACTTAACACACTCAGAAGGCAGCAGTCTGTAAAGGCTGATCAAGAGAATTTCTCACTCTGCAGTTTTCTCACATGGTGTTCAAATTTAAAATCTGGAATGTCTGCATATATTCTCTGAATTGCCTCTAGTGATGAAACTAACCCTATCTTAAAAGTGTATGAAGCTGAACACTAAGGTTATTCCACCAAAAGTTCTAAGGGAATTTGCTTCACAAAATGCAAAGACTCAACTCACAAATAAGACCTCACTATATAGCAAGAAAGTCTCCAAGGTTATCAAATGACTGGAGAGGCTCTGAAGCAAAATTAAGTTGGATGTTTATATTGATTCTGCAACCTTCAGTTTCATTCGCACTTTGTATTGCTTTGACCATGTGGCTGTTCTATCCAAACCAAACAAAGAGCTGTTGTTTTTCTTTTTCCTTTCTAGCAGAACACTGTAATATCCAAGGGAGGTTTTTAAACGGTTATTGATTTTCATGTATGGGTTGATATATAAATACAAAGAGGAGAATAAAGGTATGACTCATCGCCATTGAGTCAATACAAGGGCCACTAAATGGTTTACACTGTGGGAAAGGCAGAGCATCTGGGGAAGAACACAGAAACTTTCTTTGAAAACCAAGTATGTATTTGACAAACCCCCTGCCACATTTTGGTCCCAGGATGCCATTGTTAAGTGTTCTGTTAAAAAGATGGACAATGGACTTTTCAACAAAAGTTATCTTGTACTTGAATTGCTGATAAATTCTGTCTGAGGTGCTTTCGTGTATGCATAGTCATACATAGATCTGAACTATTAAAAGAGACTGAATTTTCTCTCTCCAGGATATTATACCTTGGTGAGTAAAAAAAAAAAAAGAGAGATTAGGAAACTCTCCAGAAAAAAGTAAAGTCTCTCTTGTTACTTCCATATAGTTTTTCTTATGCCAACAATATGAAAGAAGCCACTGGCTTCTTTCTTTCAGAATGTTTTTTCTTCTTAGTCTAGCTTACAACTATTGGATTTCCTAGTGGTCTCCCTACCAAATACTAATCAGGCCCAACTCTTTGAGGCTTAATCAAGTCAGCTACATGATGGAGAGAATTCTCCCTTCTCCCCCCAAATACAGATCTCAAGACTGTTTAGGATAAATCGCAACAGCTAATGCTCTACAAAAGGTATTATTATTTTAATGTTGAGGGGTTCACAGAATTGTGGATTTTGGTTGAATGTGATTAAACAGTTAAAACCAGATGGAAAAAGGTATGAAATCCCCAAGAGAAAACAAGTTTGGAATAATGAAGTTGTTTCAAGCCAAAATGGAAGATATAGCAGAAACCAACTTTCTGGGAAAAGCAAAAAATCTTGTCTGCCCCTGAAAAATTGTGGACTATAAAAGAAACTGTACAGGGATCATCTTAGAACAGGGGTATCAAACTGGTGGCCTGCAGACCGGATGCATCACACGCAGGCTACATCCATCCCGGCTCCGCAAAGTAAAAAAAACATTATGATACATCATGTGACACAATCAAGCTTTACACCCATGTCTTAGAACATCTGAGGACAAAGAGATGGCAAAAATAATCTATGAACATGTGGAAGGAAATTTAAACTATGACATTTAGGCTCCTAAGATTTTGAAGTTCAGCAAGGCTACAAGTGTTTTATCTCTACCTAACAATGTAAGAACTCAGAAATGGTTTACTGCATTGGGGCAATGATGAGAATATTAAGTGCAAACTGCAAAGATAAACACTTTACAGATTAACACATTATGGCTCCATTTCCTCATAAACACTATCTTTGTGAACAAATTATCTCTTGCATGCTAATTGGTGCAAATAGAAAAATTCTCAAATGGCAATAGCATCCAGAGTATTTTATGTACTAGTAAATAATTGTAATAGAGATAATACTAAACCCTATTCTACCCAATGTCACCATCCTGAATTTAAAAGCGTTGAAGGCTTTTATAAGACTCTTCATAGAAAAGCAGAATGTCTCCTTCCCTCTTCATTATTTCAGTTGCAGAAGTCCTTTTCTGATCAACACCAAGCATTAACTACTCTCTTTTCTTTTCTAGCATCCTTACATCCTAATCAGGAGAGTGAAAGAGAGAAAATCAAGTTATAATTTGGATTACCTCATCCACAATTTTTGAGAAAGACTGGAGTGTAGATATCACTTCTTCATCTCCTTTCCCCAAGGCAAAATTCTGCAAGTTAACAAGGATTAATGGCAGCACTTAATCAAAGAAGGAAATGAGAGTCTAAGAAGGCTCAGCTCACGTTTAGCCCAATCAGAAGTATTTTACTCAAGATTAAGGGTACTTGTGAGTCAGAGAGAAAAAGGAGCCTGCCTCTCATTATTTCTAACCTAAAATGAAAAAAAACTCTACCCCCCACCTCCTACACTCAATCACTAATCATAGATTATAATCAGACTGCACTAATCTTTGGCAAATTGCTGCAAAATAGCAGTGTGATTCACCTACATATAGGCTTCCTAACATTTCTAAAGTTTCCTACCAATATGACCCACTGAGAAAAATGCCAGCAGTATCTTCCTCAACATCAGGGGGACACATGTGCCTCCCAGGGTGTCTAGAAAGGGATGCAAAAAGTCAAGACAGGTTGGTTTGAAGCTGTACTCCTTTTTAAAGCTTCTATTGTATGGCTCTGATTGTCATCCTGACATTTTCTACCTTCCCTACAAGCATCTCAGAAACCTCACCACTACTGTGAATAGAGAAATGATCACAAGTGACACAGTTGTTGAAGTTTTAAGAATCAATTCCATGTGCCATTTCAAACGAAGAAAGCAAGCCCTTAAAAGCTGCCACACTTCTGTCACCAGAATTCTGTCAGAACAAGTTAGTCTCCTTGTAATCTCGGCAGAAGAGATTAAGCAAGCAAAATACTAGGGAAAGGTTAAACACTCTGTCTACTTTTCATCTCCCCAATGTGGAAATTGCTCAGGAAAAGATTGTACTGCACATACCTGTTTTTCATAGGCAAGAAGATGCTTGGAAAGCTGTTGTGTTGCCAGGCACATTTCATTCTATAAAGAGAGAATGTCTCATTACTGACTCTCACAACCACTTAAAGATTTACAATGTAAAGACTGCACAACTGTTTCCAAAGAAGGACTGCATTTGCCTTTTAAATGACATGCTCTGTTGCAAAAAGTGGCAGATTGGGCCAAGATGTTGCTCAGGCAATGTCTTTTATTGGATACTATTAAAGAAGAGAATTCACATTAAAGCCAACTATTAAAGAAGACTCTATCCAGCTATGTAGAGTCAGGACTGGGTAATATTTGTAACCAGGGTCATGTCTGCCTTCAGCTACTGAAGATCCGTGGGAGAATTTGGCCACTCTCTCTTAGCCCAACCTGACTTATTGGTGTGGTTAAAAAAAATGGGAGGTAACATTACAATCAACTTAGCTCCTTATCAAAAAACAGATTATAACTCTGTCAAAGAAACAAATGAGCCTCTAGACCAGGGGTGGGCAAACTACGGCCCGCGGGCCACATCCGGCCCGTTGGTCTGTCCAATGCGGCCCGCCCCTGAAAAAAAATCTCTGCCATTGGTCTGTCCAATCCGGCCCGCCCCTGAAAAAAAATCGCTGGGCGTGGCGTAATTGCCCTGTGCCGCGTGGCCCCCAAAGCTGCAAAACAGTGCGGAGCGATCTAGGGGTAGGAAAGAAAAGAAATTTGCAAAGGCCTCGGCTGGGAGTTCGAAATCACCTTCGAATGCGACCTCTCCGAAGGTGAGTCCCTGCCGATCCCCCTTTTTTTTCTGGGGCTTCCAGGCTTAAACTTTGCAAAGGCAAAGCTTGCAGGCTAGAGTGTCTTCCTGCCGAGGAGCGGGAAGGGTTCCACCCGGCGGGTGGGGCGGGCTGCTTGGAGCCACCTAAAGCTAGGCCGCTGCTGGTGGAGCTTTGCCCTGCCTTGGTGCCCCGTTTCCCGGCTCGGCGGTCCTGCTCGGGCGGCACTTTAAAAGCCTGCTCCCAGCACCCGAGCAACTTCCCAGCAACTTTCGGCTTCCTTTTAACTCGCGGGCGCTTGCGCCTGGCCCCGAGCCACGCGGCAGAGGGGAAGCCCGGTGGGCGGGCAGGCTGCTTGGAGGAGGCGACCCGGCGGTGATCCGGCAGCAGCAAGAGGCAGTTTTTCCCGGGCTCCGCTCAGGTGTCCGGCTGGGGCTGTCAGGAGTTGCTACCGCCGGCGCAGCTCCGTGCGGCTCCAGTCCCGCGTTGCCTTGGGAAGGAAAAGGCAAAACCAGGAGCCGCTGAGCCTGAGCCTCCGGTGCCGCTGCTCCCGTTGCAAAGCACCGCCGCGGCTCTTCCTTTTTGCCTTTCCCTTCCTGAGGCAACGCGGGACTGGAGCCGCGCGGAGCCGCGCCGGCGGTAGCAACTCCTGACTCAGAGGGCCTCCTCCGAGGGGAGGGGAAGGAGGAGAAGAGGGGGGGAAGGGGGGGATTCCCAAAAAAATCTTGTGCTGACCCGGCCCGTCTGTCAAATTTTAAAAGTCAATGCGGCCCCCGAGCCAAAAAGTTTGCCCATCCCTGCTCTAGACATAGCCAAGACTTTAAAAAAATATAATCTAAGACTCCCAATTTTGTATTACAGTCATAGGCTTCACCTCAAATGGGGCTATTTGTATTTATTCTATTTCTAATCTATATAACAAGTATTCCTTAGAAGCATATCTCTGAATTGGATGCAGATTGTATGATTTTAGGCTCTTGTACTAAGTTTCTGTCCCCAAAGAACAGATTAATAAATGGATACATTAATCCATACATTATTGGATTTCCTACAATCTGCTTCCTAAATAAACAGAAATCAGCAGTGCTCTTTAGCACACTGCTCATTATTGGTTACCTGTTGCTATTTTCACTACACAAATGAGGAAAGATTACAGATCAAATTGTGGTAATAAAACACCAATACAATCACATTTTAGTCCTGCTTTTTTACATTGTCATTATGCCTGAATTCAAGATCACAATTTAAAACAAATGTGACTCAACTTCTAACTAAATTAGCTTGAAGCTATAAGTTGGAAAGTGGTAACCAATCAGGATTTATACATGACAGGCCAGCTTTTCAAGTAAGTGAGAGGACATATAGGTAAGGTTTCCCCAGTTATGTAGGAAGGAAAAAAAAGAAGGCAGCATGAAAAAAAATACACAAGTTTTCAGCAAAATCACCTTTGTTTTAAAGCCACAGCAATTTCATTCCTTTTACATCAATTATTTCAATAAAGCTAATTTCTATACTATTCACAAAATAGCTCTGCAAGACCAATAAAAATTGCCCTCACACTGCAGCTGAAATCTATTACCAAATGTTTCATACTTTACAAAGAACAATTGCCTTCACATTTTTCAAATAATCATTAAGAAAATTATGTTGTGCAAAACCACTAACACTTATCTCTGCAGTAATTCAAAATATGTTAATAAATTGCTTTTCTGATGAAAATATTCTTGACATAAGATGCAAGTCCAAGGAGGCCAGGGAGAGGTGCTCCATAAAATGCTGAGCTTCAGATATTCCACCTGGCATTTAAGGATGGTATACAATCCACAGCTAAAATTTAAAGAATTCATATCTAAACAGTAGGAAGGGTTGGACTTTGTATACACAAAGAGAAAGAAAACAAAGATGTGAAAATTTAAAGGGCTCCTTTATTTCTGTAACATCTTTTTCGCATACAGTGATCAATAACAGCAAAGCTATTCTTTTACCTCAGAAGATGAAGTTTCTAAAGACCAAATCACTTGGTGTATAAATAGATTAGGAATCACAACTTATGCCCTCAAAATATGTTGGGCAACAACTCTGACAATTCCTTGCCAGCATCTATGTTGGGCAGGCTGACGGAAATTGATGTCCAAAATTTCTGGGCCTATTCCCACCTACCCCAAATCACCAATCAACTACAGGTAGTCCTCAACTTATGACCACAATTGAGCCCAAGATTTCTGTTGCTAAGTGAGACATTTGTTAAATGAGTATTGCCCCATTTAATGACATTTCTTGCCAGTTACGTAAATCACTGCAGTTTTTAAGTTAGTAACATGGTTGTTAAGTGAATCTGGCTTTCCCATTGACTTTGCTTGTCAGAAGGTCACAAAAGGGGTTCATGTGACCCCCAAGACACTGCAAACATCATAAACATGCGTCTTCCACAGTCGTAAGTGTAAAAATGGTCATAAGTCATTTTACAGTGCTGTTGTAAGTTTGAACCATCACTAAATGAACTGTTGTAAAAGTTGAGGATTACCTGTATTAACAGTAGATTGAACTGTAAGAGGAAGTACAAAAAATTAAAAATAATTTTAGAAAAGGAAAGGAAAAAAAATACCCAGTGTATTTCATGGAAACTAACTTACCTGTGCCCCATAGACTCGCTGCATTGCTTGAAGCAGTTGGTTGGTGTAATCTGTGAGTGTTCCTGCATCTTCTTCAAATACACTCAGCAAGGAACGGGTCTGAAGCATTTAAAAACAAACATATAAATGAAATCTAGAATAAAGGTATCATTCAGAAGTTCTCGCATCTTTTTTTCTTCCATCAGCAAAACCTGAATTATTAAAAAAAAAATCATTCAGCAGACATAATCATTCTGCCAAAGATTCTGTGATCCAGAATTCTGTTCATCAAATTATTGATGAAGTTCACAAGTGGGATGTAGGCCCAGTGACCCAACAATTGTTATTACTGTACACAGAGCCACTGGAACCAGTAACCACCCACAGTCTTTTCTTGTAGAATTAAATCTAGCAGATGTTACCTATATAAAGAAGGAATAAATTCCATAGTAAAACCATGTCATCTATGAAAGACTCCCTCTATTTATTAGAGGACCCTGGCTTCTGGCATTATCAGATAGATCAGTGTCCCTCAACCTTGGCCGTGTGGACAACTCCCAGAATTGTTAAGACAGCTGGAGTCTGGATCCACAGTTCTTCAAATGGCCAAGGTTGAGAAATGTTGAGATAAATGTTTTGAAAATGCTGCTTGCATTGGGGAAAATCCCGTGCCTAGTCACTTATGAAAGGGAAAGGTGCAAAAAAGGTCACAGGCTTGTTTAGCATGTTTGTGGGATAATAAATATTCATACCAGATTTGGAATAAATGCTTAAATACTGTTTATTGTAATATGGAAGGGCGTGACCAGCTAACCTATTTAGTTTTGGATGTCTATTGTGGCTTACCTCTTCAAACTAAAAACTCTAAGGGGAACTTAGGGGCCATTCAGACATTCTACTAACTTCAAATGAAGAATTTCTTCTTCAAACTGATCTAGGCTTAGAAAAGATTTTTCCTGACAACTGTAACTGTGAGGGAAGTTTTTATTTCCAAAAGTATGTTTATATTATTTTCATTTATATGTTGTAGAAATGTATATTGCATTATATAGGTTTGACATAATTTAAAATGTAATAAATTATGTGGCCAAATATTATAATAGAGCATATACCTATCTTAACATTCCATACGCCAATTTGCATTATTTGCATTAGCACATTACTGAGCATGAAAAGGTAATGCTGTCTATTAAACAGGTCACTGCAGTTTCTCACCAGAGAATAAGGGAAAGTGGAATGGAGGCAAAGAAAGAATATTTGGAAATTGTGATAAATTGAGAAGCTTTTGGGTGATAAAAAGGAAGCTTTAATCGAAATTCCTGAGGATACCAGATTAGAGAATGATTGTGTAATTTTTAAGGAGGAATCTCGGGAAATGCTTCAAATGATATTGAAAGGGGAATCAACATAGTCAGGAGAACAAAAAAAACAAACCATTCAACCATTATGTACTGCAATGACTAGTTATGTAGGATTTACCAAATGATTACTGACAAATTAAGGCACAGTTTATGTTAATACACAGGGCAACTTCAGATAAAAAGTATTTAGAGATTTTAGAGGAAAGATTTGATCATGTTCTATGTCTGAAACCTGGAATGTTTTGAGAAGCTTCTTCATTCTTCATTGGACAAATGATTTAAGAGGGATCTGAACACTTGTTTATTTAATAAAGTGAGATGATTTATGGAAGTGAAGCAGATGCAGAGACCGGCAGTAAATTAGATAGTACATTTAATGATGGTAAACATGTTATTTTTCTTGTGGTTGTAAATATATCATGGTGTATGTGAATTTTACTGCTTTCAATCTGTTCATTTTTTATTGTATTTAGTGTCTAAAAATACATTGTTTTCTGTGTGGAATACCAGTTTTGGTATAATCTTTACAAATGGTTTGATTCTTCATCCCTCTAAATCTTAAGAATTGTACTGGAGTTCCTGGCAAGCCTAATTTGGGAGGAGGGTCATTTCCATGGATTTTGCCACTTAGGAGGCATGTGGGAGGGCTTTATATGGCCTCATGAATAGCTCTGAAGAAGCTGCATAGCAATTAGCCTAATAAAGATGCTTGTCAAAATATGGAATCTGACATTTTTCTTCTGATAAAAACAGCTATCAATGCTCCCCACCACATCCCTATAACCTCATTTTGCAATCTTCATTGTCTCTGTAATGGAATTATTTAAAACCACAATGGAAATTTTTTTCTCATCAGGTAAATCAAAACAACAGGAGGCAAATTAGAATGGAGGGACATTCTTAGCAAAGAAGCAAAATGAATTCAGAACTATAAAAAATATCCTGCCACAATAATAACAAAATGCATTTTGGAATATTGACTAGGAAATCTTTACTGTTCAAAATATTCACAATTATGGGAATTCCACACAACATATACCCTATTACAGCTCTCAAATTACTATGGAGCTATTTCTGTAAAGTAATAGTCCCATTATAAGAGATCTGATGGTATGTGTTAGATATACAAAGTTATTTGAAATTAATATTTATCAATGTCTGTGGGGGTGTGATTTATTTATTTATTTATTTTATTTATTTATTGATTTGATTTGCCAATTGTTTACAAGATAATAAGTATAAGTGTATACATAGTTGTGAATACATGAAATGGGTACATATAAGAAAAATAAAAGAATAAGAGAAACAATAGGACAGGGACGGTAGGCACGTTGGTGCGCTTATGCACGCCCCCTACAGACCTCTTAGTGTGATAATTGGATATCCCCTTTAAATATTGTTTATCCTCTGGCCATTTTTTTTAAAGAATATGGGGAATATAATCTAAGACTCATTTCTGTGTTCACACTGAAGACTTTCAGCTGTTGAAGAGAGAGAGAACAAAGAGTTGGATTTAAGTTTTGTTTTGCACAGTAACATCTAAGCAGCATAGTTATTGTCAATAAATAACTTTCAAAATATATTTCTTGATAGAAGTTTGCAAACTAAAGTTAGCATGATTAAAATATGTGAATTTTTAAAAGAAAAGATTTTCTGAATTGCTAAACCCACCCACACCAGCCTCTTCAGTTTTTGTTCATCCACAGTGTTCAAATATAAAGGGCAACTCTATTATTGTTAATCAACATGGGTGATCTAAATTATAATTCAACACATATTGAAGAAAACATGCTGGGGGAGATGGCATTCCTTGGAAAAATGATTATATATATATATGAAATGTGCAAGCATGTATGAGTGGAACAAAATGGGTAAGGGGCCTTCCACGGGTTCCAAATACAGACGTTAGATTCAGGCCATGAGGATTCCACTGTGCAATTGATGCTTGCAGATTTTGGCAACTCCCTTCACTCTTACTTATCAAAGCCATAATGAGAATGAGGGAGATGTAGTCTAGTTACCACAGAGGGCTATGGTTACTGGATGACTAGCAATTTGTCCTTCATGTGCTTTCACTTTGAACTGTTTCTTATTAACTATCCCAAAATAAAAATAAATTTGTTTATTAGTCCAAAGTATTACATCTCAGATATCTCAATATGTACTAACACAATAATGTGATAGGCCTTTATTATTTTTCTGGACTATCTCAAGTTCCAGGTTACTTCTGTGAACACTTTTTCACTTTAAAAAATTGTGTCCAGGTAGCTACGCAACTATATCTAAATCTACAAATCAAGGAAACATGTGCATTTTATAAATTATAAACAAGCATTAACACCAAAACTTCAGCAATTGTGGGAGTGATGAGTTCTAAAAAAAAAATCCCAATCATAATGGTAATTGTTTTACATTCATTTTATTGTCCAGTTAGTTCCCTTGATACAAAATAATAATCAGGAACCATCCAAGACATTTAAGCATCTGCATCCATTTGGATAAATCACATTATATTGCTTTGTTTGTCCATAAACCAAAATACCCCTTTGCAATGCTTAACAAAGATCAGAAACCAGAAAAGGGAGAGGGCTGTTTGCTAATAAAGTCATTTTATCCTTGCTAACAGGCAATTGACTGACCATAAGAATTTACCAAGGCCCCAAATTCACCAGCCTTGAACAATCAATCTCCTCCTTCCACACTGAATAATTTTTAATTGCGGACTCTCAATATTTAACCTTAATTAACCCCTATCATTCCAAACCATTGTTTTTTTCCCCCCAGTTGCTTTCAGGTAGTGTTATTGTTTTTCTTTCTTGCAAAATTCCTCCCTTTTCTTCACAGTGACCTAGATTTGTCAAATTGGAACAAATACACTAATAAAGCTGCAGTACTTCCTGTCTCCACCTCCTCCATCCAAAAGCTCATTAATATTTTCAGAGTATATTGCCTCGAGTCCTTGTTAACCCTTCCATGCTCCCCTTCCTTTCCAAGTTGTAACCTGAGATGAGACATTTAACAACAACTGCACGGAAGGGGTGTTTTCACAGTACAGTATCCGGGTGAGCGTTATTTTTATTACGATTGTTAAGAACTCTGCTCTTTTTTTTATATGATCCGTGTGATCCGGATCCGTAAATACTAAAGTTTGGGTTGTCATTATGTGCTGCAGCGCACGTCTCTGATCTCCAAAGCACTTTGAATGTTTTAGCGATAACGCTTGCTCAGTGTAAATAATATTGTTATTATTCTCTTGGTGCCACAAAAGGGAGGAAAATAGAACAGAAGGAAGAAGGCGCGACAGTATTATTTGAATAATAGTTGGGAAGACTGCAATCTTTGCAGAACGTAATTTTCCTATGCTTGTTGTGAAAGGATAAATTCAGTCTCATATTTGCTCTATCCTATAAAGACAGCTCGGCTAAACCGCGTCTTCTCGATCACTACCGCCAACCTTTCTCTCCTTTTACCCCTCTCCGCCTCTGGCCCTGTCCCTCGCCCGGACGGTAGGTAGCTTTTGCACGGCATCTGCTGCGCCATCCCTTCCCAAACCGCAGATCAGGTGCACTCAAGCCTGGTCCGGGATCGGATACCTGCGGACTATCTTGCAGAGCGTCTTCTAGGCGAAGTTTGTCTACGGCGGGCATTGCCTGGCGCTGGAGAGAGGCGGTCGGGAATCGCGTAAGGCTCGCTTCGCAGCGAGAGCGCTGGCCAGACGTTCTTGCTGACGCGTCGGATCTGGACGCTGCCTGGGTCGCTTCGTCCAGGAGACCGAACTCGCGAGCAAACAGCCTGCGGAATCCGGCGTTTTTCCTCCGGAGCCTCCCTTTTTTCACTTTCTTTCACACTAAAACAAGGGGAGAAAGGGACCAGCGGCGCAACCTAGGAACCCAGGGGTGCGTTAAACAGGTTGTACTCCCGCCTGTTGCATGCCCAGCCCCGGTCAACAGTCAGGGCAAACGCCTCGCCTAGGACTCCTCCTCCTCCTAGTTCCTGTTTCTGGCAGGACGAGAAATGGAGGGCAGCAGGAAGTGTGGCATTGAGGATCTTCCTCATTAACTCTTCTGTGTGCATTCCACCCTGGTTACTCACAACCTTAAGGCAAAGAGCCGAGACGCAAAGTGCAAACAACAAGGGAGGGTTATAACCAAACATTAGAGTGTGGAAGGTCTCCCAGCCAAGTTGTTAAGCAGCCAGGCCCTTTTTTTCAGCATACTGCAGTTCAGGTTTCTCCCCACCTCAGTTGAACATACTCAGTGTTCATGGGGTTAGTAGAAGGAGAATTGCTCCCTCTTTAAATATCCTCTGCAGTTTTGCAGAGTTTGGAGATTTTCTTAAAATGCTGATTATTTTGTTCCTTCCTGGCCCTGTGATGGTGGTGATATTCCTCAGCTGCGTCTGCTGTTTAGTGAACTGCATACATTATGTTTCCTAAAATGAGCCCTTGAAAGATTTCCTGGTCTATTATTAGAGTTTCTGTATTTATTGCTATTGTTAACTGCAGATGATGATCATCATGCAGTTCACTGCACTTAATGATTATATTTACTATATGGTTTTATATGTTGGTTTTTAAAATGATTTGTAAGCACAAGGCATGTATTTTCAATTGAACAATACACTAGAATGGCAGTTTTTGAGTGATTTAAAAGGTCAACACAAGGATAAATAAAAGTACTACTGTAATCTTTAGCATCACCTTTACTTCGAGAGTGACTCAGCCATTTTTAGAAAATCTACTGTGAAAAAACCCTTGCAGTTGAGAAAAAAAACAAGGTAAAAGAGGTATAGGGAATAAATCAAATCTTCATTAAGGTCATAGACCAGCATAAATATAGGAAATATTATGGAAACTTTGGGGAAATAGCAAAAGCACTTAGACTTATATACCGCTTTATAGTGCTTTACAGCCCTCTCAAAGCGGTTTACAGAGTCACCATATTGCCCCAAACAATTTGGCTCCTCATTTTACCCACCTCGGAAGGATGGAAGGCTGAGGAACCCTACCAAATTGGCTGGTTTTTGTGACCAACAACACTCAGTCCTGCTGATGACATGATCAAAAAATGAAAACAAATTCCCATCACTCCCCCACTCCAAACTCTTAGACCTGCATTAAATAATCCACTGACTGTCTATATTCTGTTAGCCTTGTCTTCTGGTGGGAAGAACCAAAGCAAACAGCCGCTAGCTTGTTCTGAACTAAGGCCAAAGTTCTTCACACATTCCTTGAAATTTTGCCATGGCATACAAAGAAGAACAATCTAGCTGCATTCAGAACCATAACTGCAAGTGATTATATTAATCCAGCAAGTGGGGTTAGTGTAAAAGTAAACAATACATTTGTTTTGTGCATTTTGCTATAGCTATTTGAAATAATGCAGTAGACGAAATGATGCCCCCCCCCCCCAAAAAAATATTTTTGACTGTTTTCAAAGTCACAGAAAAGTTCTGAAAAATTCATCTGTGATCACTTCCTACTAGCAATGGGAAAAAGCTGCTGTATGATCTTATTTACCTCCATTGGCTTTTTCTTCAGTGCAAAAAGGAAGCATTGTAATTTGAAAAAGCCACTGGCGTAATTGTTAATTATACAGAGGTTTGCATGTGCTTTTCTCTGAGGTATCATTTTCACGAGGTTCTTTTAAAAAACTATTAAATAAATTTTTTTTTTTAATTTACCATAAAAATGATTTCAAGAAAAGAAAATCATCACTTAAATATGAGCCAGCTGTGCAGCGGCAGCCAAAAAAGCTAATACCAGCCTCGATTGTATAAACAGAGGAATAGTATCAAAATCATGTGAAGTATTAGTACTACTTTATAAAGCCTTAGTAAGG